AAAAAGTTCAAATCTTTAAATAAAAAAAAAGTAATAAAGCTCGTATTTTTTGAACCTTTTCTTGAAATAGAAACGTGAGAATGGAAAGTTCTTTTATGTGGAGCAAAACAAAGAGAAAAAGTTGGATGCCACATTGCTACCTCTATTTGTTTCTACTTATTTGGTTGAATTAAAAATTAATGCCATATGTTTTGTGTAAATACTGTGCAAGATTTTTTCCTTTCTTCTTCTTGTTTTACAACAAAAGAAAAAAAAGGAACAAGATCGGTTATCTTTTCTTTGTGTCAACTTATGGTTCACTTCTTTATGTTCTCTTGTCGTGCTCTTGAGAGGTTGAATGTCAATTTTAATTTTTAAATTCATAAATTTTGAATATTAATAATCTTTAAATTATTTTTTGTATTTTTTGTTTTAAATTATAAAAAATATATTTTTTTAATCATTTTTGTTAATTAATATGTTAAATTTGTTCAAGTTTAACAATTAAAAATGTGTATATATTTTAAGTTTATGAATTTAAAATATGCATATTTATATAAATCTAATTGATTAATTGACGTAATGATTAAAAAGTGTATTTTTTTTTATAATTTAAGAAAAAAATATAAAAAATAATTTAGAGACTCATAAGATTCAAAATTAAAAATTGATGAACTAAAATTGACATTTAACTACTCTTATCCATATTGTCATAAACGTGCCTCTGATGTCTCTTGATCCTCATAAAGTCTACAAAATTTGGTCCCATTTCATCTCCTTGTTGAGTACAAATCAATCAATGAGGCCAAATTATGCTGGATATTTTTTCAAAAGAAAAAAAAAATAATCTCCTAAAAAAAAAAGGTAACGTTGTTTTGAGTAATAAAATTTTATTTTTATAAGACACATTAAAATTATAAATTTAGAATGATTATATCTTAAAAAAAAAGAGACGAGATGTGATCTAACATGTATTTACTCATTAAATTAAATGCTAGTTGACGGGTTTTTTTTTTTTTTCAATTTATACCATCTAGCCTAAATAGTATTTTTACTTCTTTGTGAATGTAACATTAAAATGGAAACAAATTTTCATGCATTTCAACAAGAGGAACATGTAGGGTGAAAGACACTTTCATAATGTAAAAACAAAATATGACACGAGTAAGGAGACCAGAAGTGACTAAAATTTGACAAGAGTGAAACTGGGACTGCGAGTTTGATTGAGGTCAAAGGTTTAAGAAAGAAAATTTTGAGTTTGATTCAGTAATGAAACAGATGAACCCCACCTGCAAAATGAAAGGGACGTATATAAGGACTATCAACAAATCAACGAGTAGAAAAACAGAAGCAGCAAGTACGGCTGGGATAAAGCTATGGCTGGAATTTTCCATTCCGAAACCCCTATGAGCGGAGAAATATCCCAACGAGAAAAACCCTTCAAAGATGGGACTTGGAAGCAGAGAAAAGACACAGGAACGACCCAATACTACTTTCTCCTCATCTGATGCGAGCAACATGAAGCACATCGACAAAGGCAAGGCCATTGCTCAGTACAATGTGGATGCTGGGCTCATGGCTGAGTTTGAGGAGTCTGGTGTGTCTGGTAAGTCGTTTAATTATTCAAGGTCGGTTCTTTATGCTCCACAGAATGTAGCTGACGAACAAATAACTGCCTATCTAGCAAGAATTCAAAGGGGTGGACTTGTTCAGCCATTTGGTTGTATGGTTGCTATTGAAGAACCAATTTTTAGGATCATAGGTTATAGTGAGAATTGCTTTGAAATGTTGGGTTTAAATATGGATGATGATGACCTTGAATCTATAGGGTCAAAGGGTTTGATTGGAATTGATGCAAGGATCCTTTTTACCCCTTCCTCTGGGGCTTCTTTAGCAAAAGCTGCGGCTTCTAGGGAGATTTCATTGTTAAACCCAATTTTGGTTTATTCTAGAAGCAAGCACAAACCATTTTATGCTATACTGCATAGGATTGATGTGGGAATTGTGATTGATTTGGAGCCTGCTCGGTCAGGGGATCCTGCTTTGTCACTTGCTGGTGCTGTGCAGTCACAGAAACTTGCTGTTAGGGCGATCACCAGGCTACAGTCACTCCCTGGGGGTGATATTGGTGTGCTGTGTGACACGGTCGTTGAGGATGTTCAGAAGCTTACTGGGTATGACAGGGTTATGGTGTACAAGTTCCATGATGATGATCATGGTGAAGTTGTGTCAGAACTTAGGAGGTCAGATTTGGAACCCTACTTGGGTTTGCATTATCCTGCTACAGATATTCCTCAAGCAGCTCGTTTTTTGTTCAAGCAGAACCGTGTAAGAATGATTTGTGATTGTCATGCAAATCCAGTCAGGGTCATTCAAAGTGAGGATCTAAAGCAGCCTTTATGCTTGGTAAATTCAACTTTGAGGTCTCCCCATGGTTGTCACATGCAGTACATGGCAAACATGGGTTCTATTGCGTCATTGGTGATGGCAATCATTATTAATGGGAATGATTCAACAAAACTTTGGGGATTGGTAGTATGCCATCATACTTCACCACGCTATGTGCCTTTCCCTCTTCGTTATGCTTGTGAATTCCTCATGCATGCATTTGGACTGCAGCTATATATGGAGCTTCAACTGGCATCACAACTGGCAGAGAAGAAGATTCTCAGGACACAGACCTTACTTTGTGATATGCTACTCCGTGATGCACCATTTGGTATTGTGACTCAGTCCCCTAATATAATGGACCTTGTTAAGTGTGATGGGGCTGCATTATATTATGGTGGAAAATGTTGGTTGCTAGGCGTGACTCCAACTGAATCACAGGTAAAGGATATTGCGGAGTGGCTTCTCAGCAATCATGGAGATTCTACTGGATTGAGTACAGATAGTTTGGCAGATGCTGGTTATCCAAGTGCTGCTTTACTGGGTGATGCAGTTTGTGGTATGGCTATTGCCAGAATCACTTCAAACGATTTCTTGTTCTGGTTCAGGTCTCACACTGCAAAGGAAATGAAATGGGGAGGAGCCAAGCATCATCCAGAAAACAAGGATGATGGTGGAAGAATGCATCCAAGGTCATCATTTAAAGCTTTTCTTGAAGTGGTGAAAAGTAGAAGTTTGCCTTGGGAGATCTCAGAGATCAACGCTATTCACTCTTTGCAGCTTATAATGAGAGATTCATTTCAAGATATGGAGGACAGTGTCTCCAAGGATTTGGTCAATTCCCAGCAGAATAACATGGAGATTCAGGGGATGGATGAACTCAGTTCAGTAGCTTGTGAAATGGTCAGATTAATTGAAACAGCCACAGCTCCAATATTTGGTGTTGATTCAGCTGGTCTCATCAATGGTTGGAATGGAAAAATTGCTGATTTGACAGGATTACAAGCTAATGAAGCTAAGGGGAAGTCCCTGGTTAAAGAAGTTGCGCACAAGGACTCACAAGAGGTGGTTGAAACTCTTATATGCACAGCTTTGCAAGGTAGTTTAGTTTTATCCATGTTAGATGATAAGTGGCATCCATTAGTGATTAATGACTTTTTAGTTGTAATGTCAAGGAACTGCAACTTTTTTTCCTGTTTCACTTGATGCATGCATGTGTGTTTCATATCTTCTACTAATTCACTAAGTCCACAGAATTTAATTTCTTTTTTAACTTTCTTATTTCAAAAATGAAAAACAAAATTATTACTCTTATCTTCTTTAATTTCCAGGTGAAGAGGACAAAAATGTTGAGTTAAAACTCAGAAATTTTGGGGCTCATCAGCAGAACTCAGTTGTGTATATTGTAGTAAATGCCTGCACAAGTAGGGATTACACAAATAATGTTGTTGGGGTGTGTTTTGTGGGTCAAGACATCACATCTGAGAAAGTTATGATGGATAAGTTCATTCGTGTGCAAGGGGATTACAGGGCTATCATACAAAGTCTAAGTCCCCTAATTCCCCCAATATTTGCTTCTGATGAGAATGCCTGTTGTTCTGAGTGGAATGCAGCCATGGAAAAACTGAGTGGTTGGTTAAGAAATGAGGTACTAGGTAAAATGCTTCCTGGAGAAATTTTTGGAGGTCTATGTCAGCTGAAAGGCCAAGACACAATGACTAGATTTATGATTCTGTTGTATCAAGGAATTAGTGGTCAGGATACTGAGAAGTTCCCATTTAGCTTTATGGATAGGAACGGCAAAGTTGTGGAGTGTTTCTTGACCGTGAATAAAAGGATGGATGGAGAAGGGCACATAATAGGCTGTTTCTGCTTCTTGCATATTATTGTGCCTGACTCACAGCAGGCTCTTGAAGAACACGGGCGAGAGAATGAAGACTACTTTTCACTCAAGCAGTTGGATTATATAAGACAAGAGATGAAAAATCCTCTGAATGGTATTAGATTTACCCATAAGCTCCTAGAGACCACAGCTATTTCTGAAAATCAGAAACAATTTCTTGAGACTAGTGATGCATGTGAAAAGCAAATTATGACAATCATTGATGATATGGATTTAGGAAGAATTGAGGAAGGGTAAGTCTCTTTTTTTCAATCCCTGATTTGCATATATCACCTTTAGAGGTTCTCCATGGTTCCAGTTTCTTTTCTTATGTAGAGTTTATATTGTGGTTGTCTGGCATCATTCATTCTTTTTATTGCCTTTTGTGGTTAAGTCATCTAATTTAGTATCCTTCTTCTTGCAGCAACATGGAGCTGAAAATGGAAGAATTTCTTTTGGGAAATGTACTGGATGCCGTTGTTAGTCAAGTCATGATCTTGCTAAGGGAAATGAACTTGAAGCTTTTTCACGAGATTCCAGAGGAAATGAAAACATTATCTCTGTATGGTGACCAAATGAAACTCCAGCTGGTGTTGTCAGATCTCTTGTTTAATGTGGTACATCATGCCCCCAGAGATAGCTGGGTGGAAATCAAGATTTTACCTGGTCTTAAGCTAATACAAGATGGAAACGAATTTATCCGGTTACAGTTCAGGTATCATATCTATAACTTGCTGCAGTTCTATGATAATGGAATTTTGTTGTTGATGTTCAAAGAAAATGCAGCAAACTCAAGTAAAGGTGTTATTCTTACCGGGTTAAGCAGTTTTTTGCCTCTTTAAAGCAATTGTTTTTCCTGACGCTATTTATGATTTATATCAGCATCTCCATCAGATATTTGTTTACCAGGAATAAATAGGTGAGATTGTTTATGCTACATGCAGACCAATATTTTTCACTTTTATGCTTCTAGAATGACACACCCTGGTAAAGGTCTTCCTCCTACTCTTATCCAAGATATGTTCAATGGTGGAAGTCAATGGACCACGCAGGAAGGCCTTGGACTAAACCTGTCAAGGAAGCTTCTCAATAAGATGAATGGTCAAGTCCACTATGTCAGGGAACATAATAGGTGCTACTTCCTCATTGATCTTGACAGTAGAACAAGAAAAGGAAGACAAAGAGGGGTACAGGTAGATTTGACCGGAATGACCTAGTATCTTCTTAAGAACCTTTCATCTTACACGTATTTTCATGTCAAGTAGATGTCAAGCAGATGGGAGTAGTTGGGTAAAGCATAAATTTGGCTTCTAATTCGACATCTCTTGTCATCTGTTTATCTTGTGGAGACCAGTCAGCATGCCATAGCATAGCCTTTTGTTTGATGTTTATGTACAATTCAGCATAAATTCACTCTTGTTAATATTCACCCGAGAATTATTTTCCTCTTCTATATATATATATATACACCTACTTTGACTAACGTCATTATATTCTTTGCCTTAGTTTTCCAATCTCTGCTCGTAACAGAATCATGACTGCCATGTTAAGCACACCCTATTCATTTTGATTCTAGAAGCAGTTTTCAACTCTGAGAAGAGGTATCATGTTCATTACAGTCGATTAGCAGTGGCTGTAGGTTGATGCACAGCTTAATGCCGTTAAGAAAACACTGGATACTAAAGGCAATTAAATGGACTGTATTTCATGCTGAATCTAATATTGCCAAGCATATGCATTTCATGAATCTGAAAATATTGGAATATGATTGATCAAAATGGAAATCTTCTCTGTCGAACTATACAATTTTTTATCACTGATGCCAATATCCAATGTTACATAACTGACCCTCAATACACACATAACCATTATACCTTATAAATATCATATTTGCAGATAAAAACTATTCCCAGATCACATCAAACTAAGAAAAGAAGAAAAAAGCCCTTAAGAAACAGTAGAAAGGAGAAATTCTGCAGAAGCTAGTAAACTGTGCATTCTACAGCACAGGTATAACTCACTTTGCATATGAGCTTATCCTCATCCTCCTTCCAACCTCAAACCACAAGGCACTGAACTGTGCATAAAAAAGATGCTCCTGCATCTTTCTTTTAAAGCTATCTTACTAAAAATATACAAAATCTGCGTCCTGTTATACCTGGTTCCACCTTCCTAAGTTTTTACAGTTGAATATGTTGGAATTAGTTAGCGCCTGATGCCCCGTAATTTGGGATGGGGGCATACTCCTTTCAATATGCTGTTAGCAACTCTCTGACTCCTCACCAGCATCGTCCTTTTTACAGCTTTCCAGAGGATCCACTGAGTTTGATCCATATTCATTTGGCTGGCGAATGATATTCAAACTGGAGTTCAAGTGTTCCTGGATGATCTACATCACAATGAAAAAATAAAAAACATAAATAATACCCCGCTGCACACCATGGTCCAACTCAGACAAATGGCCATTAGATATTTTACATTAAAAAAACAGAAAACAAAGATGAATGTGGCAGAATTCCAGCATGTAAATAACAAATATTGCAAAATGTGAACAAATGATAGAAATAGAATTAAAAATCACAAAACACCTTTTAACACAACTCAGCTCAAAGCCACAGCTCCAAACTACTAGATAAGTTACCTGGTCACTACCATCTAGACCCTCTGAATGAAAGAGAATAGGGCGGCATCGCTTATCTTCATTCATCAAGCTTGAATTCTGGAAATGGGTCACAAGGGCTGCCTTTCCCTGGATTCGAGCATATGCCAAAGAGGCAACTTTCTCACTATTGAACTTCTCCCACTTCTTTCCATTAAATGCCTGCATAATAATATCATAAACATCAGTAGATGAAAAGAAAATTTTCAAGGCTCTTTTACAATATACCCTCCTTTTTAAGTAATAAATAACAAGAAAACAGGTAAGAGGATGACAGAAATGATGAGTAATATAACATGTGCACGAATATGTCAACTGCATAAATACACCAAGGCACGACAGGGAACAATGGTAACTAAAAATTGTAGAAAATCACCTCATAAAATGGAATAATGAGAGAAGGAGAAAGCATATTAATAAATGCATAGCCCACATTGCATTTATTCTGCACCACAAGTGGAATTATGTATCAGTTGCAATTCACTTAAAAAGAGATTGTAAAAACTGTCACTGAGAGGCCTATAACACCTTGAAATCAATAGGCAAATAGAGAAAATCATAGGTCCCTTTGTGATTTTCATCAATGGCAGCTAGCAACATCTTTGAAGTGTATCTAAGGATCATGGTGAAATAGAAATTATCAAAAGTAGGCACAGAGTAAATGTATTGCTGCATAATCACAATCACAAATCATGGGTTATCGCAGTTAGCCTTACTTATTTGGGATATTTTTTATCATCAAGGTCGTTCGAGTGTCTTCCCCACTAATAATTTTATCCAAGTCTAGCTGAAATTGCTTCTTGTTATCTACTTGGTTGCTATTATTCTCTACCCTCCTACGTCCACGCTCATTGAAAGCCTCCATGCTGGTAGGCATCATTCCAGAATAGGGAGGATTGCCCAATATTACAGGACCGAGCCTTGGAGAAGACATCAGTCTCACACTTGATGAACCATTTTCAGATACATTCCTTGGAATACTAATGCCAGAATTTATAGCAGCATGTGGAGCCATATTCACCATAAAACCCCTCTCATTGTGGCTGATCCCCATACTTCCAAAAGGAACAGGATTCATGAATGAGTTATCTGGTGAGTCTGGGAAGAAACCAAAGTGCCTCTCCAAAGGAACACCAGATGGAGCAGATCCAACATGATGGTGGTTCTGCGATGAGCTAAGAAGAGAACCTTGACGACTTGAGAATGGAAGGCCACGGCCTTTCCCACTTGATGCGAATAGATGCCCCAAAGAAGATGTTGACCAGCCTGAAGCATTGGTAGGTTCAGAATATTGGGTAGGACTTCCCCAGAGAAACTGTGGTCCAGACAGTGTTTCCATACCAGAGCCATTTGAAGTTGACTGACCAAAACTAGGCATAGTCCCCAACTTTGGATCTGGAAATGAATGGGTCTGTTGAGTGGTAGCCCCATGTATTGAATTTGAACTGGCAAATGCATGCTCCATAAGACTACCCCTACCTTGGTCCTTGCCAATAGGTGCAACTTTCAAAGAATTGGATGCTTGAGAATGCAGAATTGAAGCCAGACCAGATATATGGTTACTTGTTGTTGGGCTCATGCCCCTGAAACCAGGAGACTTACTGATAGGATGCATCATATTATGTTCAATGGGGCTGTTGAACTGCAGCCAATTACCTGTCAAGAACATGTGACAACCTCAGCTTGCAAGAGATAGTGGAGATAGGAAAACCAAAACCAAGTAACACAGAAATATTTCAAGGCATATATCAACAGACAGGCCACCTGGTGGAGAACTGGCTATTGGTGAACCAACTTGATGTCTAAAACCTCGAGATTCATCTTGCTCAATCTCTTGATTCACTTGCAACATCAAGCTACAAAGTGTAATGAATGATTAGTCATAAGTATCCATCATCGTTGTGAGCCAATAATTAAATTTGAAAAGATTGACAAAGAAAATATAGAAACTGTTGATGGCTTCTTGGTTAGCCAGGAGTACTGCAAGTATGAGTAAAAGATCTACACTTCCAACATTAAATTCACAGAACCAAACAATGAAAGGTAGATATCTTTCTGATGGAAAACAACATTCCATCAAGTTAGAACATTACTAGTCTTTGAAGATACAGAATACGTGAATAACAAAAGAATAGAGTACAAGAAATACATACTTGCGTCGAGCTCCACCTGGGCGACTAGGTTCAAGCTTTATGCGTTTACCAGCTATGTCACTCCTATTCAATGATTTGAGAGCTGCGTCTGCAGCTCTAACATCATAAAATTCTATAAACTTATGATGCCTCTTGTGTGGTGTTTCCCTTATCTGCTTTTACACCATAAATAGTAACACCAATGATAGATTAACCATGATTAACTATAAATGAATGAAGAAAAAGGAAAATAACAACATGTCACCTCTTTAACCTCGCCGTAAGCCCCAAATATTTGGCGAAGGTCCTCATTTGAAACTGATGGATCCAAATTAAAAACAACCAAAGTTCCTTGATTAATATCTTTCTCTGATGGATTATCCTGGTGAAGCAGAAGCAAATAAAGGTAAGAAGATATTAATTGTAACAATTCTATAAAAAGTAGGAAAAAACAACTATGGATGACTAGAATAAGTTTCCAACCTTAGGAATTGAGAAGTGAATGTCAAGTTTCCTCCGTCGCAGTGGTTTATTCTGTAATGCTCTCATGGCAGTTCGTGCAGCACGAATGTCATAATAAGATATCATCACAAAGCCCCTGTGTTTACATGCAGTGTACAAAGTTCTAATATCACCATATTGCTGCCACAATAGATGCACAAAAATAATAAAAGAACATTAGTACTAAGATTTAAAGAATAAATAAAAGTCCCTTGAATGAATACTCCAAACTGCAATAAGTTCAGAGCACTAGTCAGGGTTAGATTGTTGGACTAAAATAGAATATGCAAGTATCTAAGACAATCAAAAATAACTCATCTTCACTGAAACTTCTATTCTTCAACCATAGAGAATCATGGATTATAAGCTAAATCAGCATAATAAAATCCAAGCAATCACCAATCCACATTTTGCAAGTTATGTAACCATAAAACTTGATAACTTGAGAAATGAGTTACCTCAAACAGAGCTCTTAGTTCAGAATCCTCAACATTGCTATTGATATTTCGAACAAACAAAGTCCTTGAAGGATGTTCACCATATGGATGCTCTCCAGCTATGGCTCCAACACCATTTGGAAGACTGTAATGATGCATCCCATTTCCAACAATCGCATCTGATAGACTGACTTTTGACAAACCCATACTCAGGCTCTCCTGTGGATCAGTCTCCAACTCCAGGCCTCCACCACTGCCAAAAAGATCACCATCTTCCAAGTCCTCCAATGAATTAGGCAACCCACTTAAGTCAAAATCATCCATTATGCCAGCTAAAAGCTCATTTTCATCATCAGGAAGCAAGATTCCTGGCGTATGGGTTTCGATATCTTCAAGTGGATCACTACCCTCAACATTTTGATGAACCTTATCTAAACCAGGCGAGACACCAAGAGATTGACAACCATTTTCAGTATCATTCAAGTTCACTGCATGCATGCAAAAGCAAATAAGAATCCTCATAATAATACGATTATACAACGAAATATAAAAAACTTTAAAACCATCTTAGACAGACATTTTCCGTGTGGAAGAACAGGTAAGGAGGTAGAGAATAGGCTAGCATCACTTGAAGCTTGGTAGGCATCAGAACCAGATAATATCCCCCACATATGACTTCCCACCTCTTTAGGGGCATTTTCCCATGGAATCTTAGTTGGACCTACAAACAGGATTCACAGGACTTATTAATCCAAAAACACGCTTCTCTCATAGTAGCATCAAGGATAGGATTCTGGTAGTACCTGAATCTGAACCATCAGAAGACTGCTTCATTGCACCGACTTTCTGCTAAGACAAGAAAGCCAAGGCAACGTCTGTTTTAACTAATGCTAAGGGCCATGATAAGAAATGTTGGAAAATAATAAGTAACAAATGCGATAGAAAGAGGGAAATTTTAGTACAGCAATTGCAATCAGCATACAACATCATAAAATGCTGTCAGATAAATACTAGAAAGTCCAATAAGATTCAACTAAAAACATGTAGATTAAATGTTTATTCCACACATCCCAATGACACGTGGAAGATGCTTTAATAATACAAATTTGGGAAGGTTTATCCGTTTTTCTAAATATCTCATTGATTTCAAGGCAAAAGTGATGACAAACTGAAAATGAATTATATTCAAAAGTCCATCTTCTATTTCATTGATTAATTTTCCATCCATAGGCAGGAAAACGGTTATTTTGGATTTGACTACTAGACAGTTTATCTGTTTTACCAAAATCATCATTGAGTTTAGATAAACACTCCGCATTTCAAGCACTCATTCCTACAATGGCAAATCAAAAAAACAATCCAGCAAACTCATAGAATACGATAAATAGCTCATAAACCTAAAAACTCTTCAGGAGAAAAGCTTCTAATAAATAATATCTGCATTCCTACTCCAAATATGGTCACCAGCATTTGCACTGGATTTAGAATTGAAACTTAAATTAAAGATTTCTGCTCCCAAAAATTCAGAAATCCAATTTTATCCATCAAAAACCAACCACTGTATTTAGGTTCCAACACTAAATTAACAGTAATCAGAAAGCAATAAGAAAAGATGGGACTGATTTCCCAGACGTAGACCTAAAAACCACACAAAGAGACATTAGTGTAGCACACACAGAATCAACATGTCAGCCTAAAATAGAATGAAAATATCACTAAAGTACAGTTAATTACTAAATTTTGTTAGTCTAAGAGCAGGAAATAAAGTATTTTGCAAAAACAACCATCCAAAAAAAATATAGATATATTTTGCCATATCCCAGAAAGACAGAAACTTAATCTCTCACCCATACTAGCAATCAGCTCAAAGCTCAAATAGGACCCAAATTCTAGAGATGTAGCCATAACTTTACACAATCAGGATTAAAATTTGAACAAGAAAAAACAGCAGAAAACCCAGAATTAAAACTAATGCAACACCATTAAAGCAACAAAATTTCACAGTAATGGATGAAACCAGAATCAAAAAAAAAAAAAAAACAGGGAAAAAGAGATGGGAAATCACCTAAACGGCTTGAGCTCGTAAGTGGGTGGTTGACTGGTTAAAAGCTCGGAAATTTTTATATGGGTTTCAATGGAAAAACCTCCCTGTCCACGATCACACCACAGGAAGAGACGTGAAGAGAGAGAATTTGTACTAAGGGTGCCGCTTTCTCCCCAACTTAGTTTTTCTAATTCTTTCTTTTTAATTGGAAAGAGAAAAACGGAGGAGATGGTGATGATTGGACGGAAAGAGTTTAATAAAAAATAGCAGGGAATGATTGAGTGGAGAGATGGTATTGTGCTGGTGGCGTTTTGACAATTAAACCTATTTAAATTAATTTTGGAGTCCAAAAATGCATATTAATTTTTTTTTTAAATATGACAATAAAATTATTTCCAATTTAGCCTATAAATTACAATGTGTCAAATATGGGTTGGAATTGAAGTCCTCGAGTCACGTCTGCTCTAATTAGGTTAAATTTATTTCGAGAGTTATTACTTTGTGCATTTGAAACATTAATTCCATATATTTTGACAATTTAATAAAAAAATAGTTGCAAGATAATTTATTTAAAAATTTTTTATTTTGTAATTAAAACAAAAAGTTATTAGATGAAGGGATAGTTAAGAAGTTTGTCTCTTCGTTTTCGTTCAATTGTTTTTATTGTACATTTGTTTTTTAAAATAATATAAGTTAATATATAAATTATTTTAAAACTTTTAATTAAAAAATTTTAAAAATAAAAATTATTTTGGCAATGAATAATAATAAAAAGAATGAATTTTATAAAGTCAAAATTTAAAATTAATAACCTAACATAAATTATGTTATTAAAAATATTAAAAGATAAATTTTATATTATTTAATAATTATTTTTTTTCACTTTATTAAAATTTTTAACATTACATATATCAACTAATTTAATAACATAAATTATATTAAATTTTAATTTCAAAATTTTGTCTATGTATCACTACTATTAAGCAATAGAGAGAGAACTTATACTGTCTTTCCAAATTTAAAATATTTTTCTAAAGAAAATACTATCCTTACTATTAGGAAAAATATTAGTACTATAAATGGATAAAATAAAAAACGAAATTGACCTTGGGGTTTTAGGAAACTGTGAGATTGCCATTAACTTGTGGGTTGTTGGGGGGAAGCTCAGGGATATTTTTTGGAATATTCCGGCGTGTATTTGGATTAATAAGGAGTAAACCTTGCTTAAAAGTGGATAATGATGCCACATCATCTGATGAGTGGGACCGCCGGATTAGTTGCACACGGGTGAGCACGTTGCGACGGGTGCCGTAGGCGTGGATTTTGCAGTCAACGAATTCTGATTGCAAGTTTTTTTTTTTAATGGAGTTCAAATAATTAAGGGAAAAGCAATTTTTTTAATTGGTTCGTGCATTTTAGAAGAATTTTTTTTAGAAAGTGGCATTTTATATAAGTTAGAAGATGGTGTTGACCCGGAGAGTTCAATTCCTTTGGTATTAAACTATCCATTTTTCATTTTGTGAGGATACCACTTTCATTTGTAGGGATAATGCTTTGTATAATATGATGTAGCGTAGAAGGTTGATTTAATTGATTAAGAGTATGAAATTTTAAATTAAATATTTTATTATTATTAATTGAGAAAATTTACATAGAGTACATAAGAAAGAAATTTGTGAGTTAAATACAATGATGATTACTTTATTTATGATTAATTAATTTTAAATTAGATGTAAGTTTTATATTGAGTTTATATATATAATTTTTACATGGTATTAAAACTCAGATTATGATCTGAAAAGTTTGTCATGTAAGACATGTATGTAAGTGAGTATATTAAACCACGTGACAGACCTTACATTTATAGTGAGTCTACACGTGAGGGATCTGTTGAGTGAAAAAAATTTTAAACTACATACAAGAAAGGTTACTCCCAAGTATTGTATTAAATTCATATGCATAATTTTTCACAATCATAAGTGGAGAAGGATTTGGAAAAAATAAAAAGCCATTATTTTTTATATAAACCATCATAAGATGTACTAAAAAAATATTAATAGCATCGTAACATTAAATGAAAAGATATATATTAATTCATACATATTTTTTTTTTATGAAAAGATATATATTAATTCATACATAATTTTTTTTATGAAAAGATATATATTAATTCATACATTTTTTTTTTAATTTTTAGGAATTCATAACATAAGATTCTAAAATTCAACATATGTACCAATTCTTTTACAGGGAACAATGAACTTCATTTTTAAAGCATGTTTGGTGAAACTCATAAGTATTTTAGTTTTTTGATACTATTTATATTTTAAAATTTTAAATTTTTTTTTAAAAACTTATATTTTTTAATTTTTTTTCAATCTTAAAAAGATCTTAAACAGTAAATTTTAAAAAATTTTAAATTTTTACTTTTCATAAATTTTCTTTTTACTCACTTCTTATTATTTCTAAAAACAATTTTTAGATTTTTTTTCCAATAAAAATTTAAATTTATGACTTATAAATAGTAAAAAAAAAAAATTTTAAGAAACTCTACCAAACATGCCTTTAATGTCATATGCTAGTAATACTGCACAAAACCTCAGTCTTGGAAAACAAAGCATACCAAGTGTTGGTCTCCAAACTCCAAAGGTTGGATTCATTAATAAATATCATTTTATATGTTAAATTTAATTTTCTTAAACATTTTATATTAATACGAGGGATGCATCATTAAAATCATTCAAAAATAAATTAATTTTAAAATATATAAAAATTAGTTCAAATAAACCTTGACTATCAAAACCAAAACAAAATAGGGCATTCATCTCCAGTCTAACCAAACCGAAAGATGAATAACATTGCAAAATAAATTAAACCAATCCAGTACGAACAAAAAGTGGCTTTAGTCTACCATCAAATGAATGAAGTGCTAGGAGCTTGTATGCAACCTTTATA